TTTTATAAGATCAGCGCCCCGTTTAAAACATGGTCACGTTGTCGTCACGTGGGCGACGCTGTGAAAACGTATTCCTAAAATTTGAGTATTTTGAATGAATTCTTTTCATTTTTCATAATCAAATTTTCATGCTAAAACAACTGTTTAAATCTTAAATACTAGAAAATAATCGATCATCAATAATAAATAATCAATATAAAGATTAAAGATGAAATAAAATGTTTAATGTTTGTCAAAAAGAATGAATAATATATAATATATATTTAAAGATAAAAACTAATAAATTCCTTTAGAGCACAAACGGTTTTAAAGAGTTAATTCATTAGAAACATTATTTGCTGCCGGAAACGAAAAAGGGTCGCTTAAGATTGCATGATGATTAAAAGACATTTCGTAATAAGGGATATACCAATGGATTATATGTCTCTGAATTTGAAGAGAAACAAAAAAGGTGGGGGTGGATAAAAAGAAATTAAATTGTCTCTATCGATTACATTACCACAACGCTGTGTCGGTCACTTTTTTTATTTTTTTTTTGAAATCATATGTAAGGCAGTAAAACATGTAAGGCAGTAAAACCTCTAAAATACAAGAGATTACTTTGTGTGAAAGAATAAGAAAAAAAGAGAAACATTATTAAGGAGCGACATCAGTAAAAGAAGAGGAATCAAGAAGACAGTAGATAACGGTTGACATTGCATTTAAATGTTTGAAGGTCAAAGTTGGCTAAAAAATATGACGGAAGAGAGTTTCCCTAGCGAGAAGTAAGAGAAAAGAAACTGTTAGTATAGAAATTCAACCTGGGAAACCAATTTCTTAGAAGTAGACCTCTCAGACGGTTCAATATAATCTTCCCACATCGTGTCAGCTGAGAATGTAAGCCCCAAGATGGCGCAACGTGTTACTCTCATGGGAGCTGGTATCAGCCATGCTGACGGCAGACAGGAAGGTGTCTTTCAGTTGATTGATAGAGAGAAGTTTCGTTTTTGGAGGCTTTTAAATGAACAAATCATTCCTTGCAGAAGTTAATAACACATTGTAGGTCACTTGCAAAAATTTCTACTACGCAAAAAAACAGACAAACAATAAAAAAAGGTATTGAACAGCGTCACTCTTGATAAACATCGATGCTAATCGTCCAGATAGCAACGATAGATCTATGATAAATTTTTGTTGTTATAAGTATTTTATTCACTTACCGGTGTACCAAATTGACCGATGTTCTGACCTTTGTTCTTTAAGCGATATTAGCGAAAATATTATTCATATTTGTCAAATTATTGCGGTTTGTATGAACCATTAAAAAAAAAATGAGAGTCTCTGAAAATGTTGGCATTAATATAAATGGTATAAGGCACATAAGACACCAGTAAATTATAGCTAGATAAAGAATATTGAACAACATTAAGAGAGAGAGAAAAAAAAATAATTAAAAAGAAGCCACGGAAATATTATCCGGAAAATAATAAATACAAAATGAAGAAAGAAATAAAATGGCAAAAAAAGAAAAAAAAAAAAAAATGGAAGGAAAGCAGACGATAACAAATCGCCTGTTGTTACAATGTTTATATCAATTACGAAATGTATAAAATAGGAGAAATACAGAGGAAAATGGAGACGACGACAACGATGATGATGACGATGACGATGACGATGATGACGATGATGATGACGATGGCGACGATGACGTTGATGATGATGAAGACGATGATGGTGATGATGATGATGACGACGATGACGTTGATGATGATGATGATGATGATGATGAAGACGATGATGATGACGATGACGTTGATGATGATGATGATGATGACGATGTTGATGACGACGATGACGTTGATGATGATGATGATGATGACGACGACGATGACGATGAGGATGACGATGATGATGATGCTGTAATAGAAGCGCTAATAAAATCAAAGGAAGAAAGCAGGAAACGAAAAGAAAAACAAAAAGAAATGGAAAAAAAAGAACAATGAATACAAGAATAGAAAAGAAAGAAAGAAAGTTCTATCAGAGAATGAAAGATGAAAAAGAAATAGAAAGAAAGAAAGAAAGAAAGAAAGAAAGAAAGAAAGAAAGAAAGAAAGAAAGAAAATATTGTGGAAAGGAGGGCGAAGTAAAAGTGTTGACGGTTTCAAAGAAAGAAAGAAAGAAAGAAAGAAAGAAAGAAAGAAAGAAAGAAAGAAAATATTGTGGAAAGGAGGGCGAAGTAAAAGTGTTGACGGTTTCAAAGAAAGAAAGAAAGAAAGAAAATTCTTTTCAGAAAGTATAAGGGGGAAAAGGAATAGAAAAAGTGAAAGAAAGAAAGAATAGACAAAGAAAGTTCCTTCAAAGGAATGAAAAAAGAAAAAGAAATGGAAAAAGAATAGAAAGAGAAATAATAAAAAAGAAAAGTTGTTTCCGGAGAATGAAGGATAGAAAAACGAATGGAAAAATTCGATGAAAGAAAGTTGTATGCGGAGAGGAAAAACGAACGGGTGATAAAGAAAAAAAA